CCGTGAGCTCCGACGCCCGAACCGGTCGCCGGAGCTCTTGGACTCCGCCGTTGGCAGTTATCACTTTGATGGTAGAATTTGATGAAGTGTTGCCCATTTTTTGAGAGAATGAGAGAATACAAGTTGTTTGTTTAAGTGATATATATGATGTTGCCAGCAGTGGTTGATGTAAATTAAGGACTCACGGAAAAATAATAAATTGCATAATAAGGACAAGATAGAGCGAAGATTTGGCACAGGGTCGCTTTTGAGCTGTATTTAGTTTAAGAAGGGGGCACATGGTTATGGAGTTAGGTGGTGATTAGTCATGCATGGATAGAGACAAGCTGATGGTATACAGGATGTATCCGATCTGTACCCGACCCGTTTCAGATGCGGATATCGTTCTTAACAGGTAACGATCCGCACTTGGACCCCTCGAAAAGGAAATGGATCGATATGTGGATCTTATATAGAATTTGATCCGGATCCAGCGTGTTATCATAGAGAGTAAGGCCAGATTATTCGGAGTCGAAATTTAAGGACTGTATCACCAAGATCATACATTAGTTACTTAATGGATACGGAACCGCATAAACATCTGAAATAGGATAAAACCCGAATCCAATCAATTACCATAGAAATTAGGTGAAGCAAGTAATACGGTAGGCAATGGAGTCATCAAGCCGACTTACTCATATACAAATCCAAATTTCAGACTTCAAACACACCTAGATGAAGAACTCCATAATGGGTATGAATGCGCAAATGGATATCCAAAAGCAAAATGGATTTGGGTATGAATCTTACAGGACCGAACCCGGAACCGACCAGTTGCCACATCTAAAGAGAGGCTAGTGTCAAATAATCCATTATGTTTGGCTGTCACCAAACACTCTCTACTACAATAGGGATTGAGACACAAAGCAAAAGCTTGAAAGAGACTTGGAGAAGGGCCCACGTATTTCATGAAAGTATGTGGCTTTGTTATGGTACTAAGCTGGCAATATCAATAGCTTCTGCTCTTTGGTACACAATCATCCTCAAATTAGGGATATTTTTGTCCAGTGATGCAAGGGTTGAGTCCAGCTTGCTTCCATCTCAACATTTTGGACCCTAGCTTACACTACCAACAGTATCTGTCCTTGATAAAAAAAAAAGATTGGTCTTTGTTGGGCCCACAAAGATTGGATCTCTGACACTTGTCCACTTGGGTTGTTTCATACGATTAAGCATAAGATTAATCAAGGTGGTACCAATTATATAATCTTAGGAGATAACTTGCAGGTAGGATTCCCCAAGTTGGCAAACAGAACTAATGATTAGAGAACAAAAAAGAACGAACTAATGATTAGAGAACAAAAAAAAACTAAGAAAAATAAAGGGATAGAAAGGGTCTCCCTATAGTTGAAATGGTTGGAGATGAAGAGTTGATATGGTCATACTTTTAAAAGTTTCATAAGTGAATATATACATCAAGGAATCATGGATCACCAACTACATGTCAACATCTGAACCACCTTTTTAAGATTATATCAATATGATCATAAGATACACATCTGAGGCACCACATAAATCCCAAGAGGCAAAATGCATGTTTGATATTTAAATTATAATCAAGTATTACAGAAAGCGTAATCAAGGACATAATATAGGATTTGTATAGAAGTACAATTATATGTACTTGTTATAGGTTCGACTTACACATGTTCGCATTTGAGAACGTTCATGTCCTGGAAAGCCCAGTGGAAACCTGAAATATTCACCAAAAATGTTATAAATGAATTATGTGATTGGTAGTGAAAATTTAGACCCTGAACCATATGAAGGATGATATGATATAGACATATAATGACTAACTGCTTTTGATTAGAACCAATCTCATTTTGATCATTTAGCTCCCTCCTATTGCCTTTTTAAAATCTAGAGTGTAATTAATATAAGAGGTGAAAAGTTAAAACTTCAGATTGAGGTGTATGCTATTTTAGACAATGCAGAAAATATCAGCCAAAAGAGCCTGACATATGTGCTAAATGACAATGATAGTGCTTTTCCTATTATAGAAAAACATGATAATAACCTCTATAGATTTATCTCCATAAAATCATGTGGTCATCCCTAATAAACCAAATTATTTTGAAATAAAAGTGGATGTTTTCCCTAAGACTTAAATGTGCAACCTACAAATCATGAGACATCTGAATAAGCATTCACAACGTCTGAAAATGAAAGTAATTCCTATAGAGGGTCCTCGATAGAATATCATATAGGGAGAAAGGAGAGGGTGACGCCTCGCATGTCAGTGCAATCACTATTAGTGCAATCACAACTGCACTGACAGACGTTAGTGATATGTGCGTCACGATTTGTGATGCGAGGTGTCATCCTCTGCTTCCCCCCTATATTATATTCTATCGAGGGCCCTCTGTAGGATTTTTTTTTTCTTCATATGAAAGCTAGCATGCCATTTCAATCACTATCAGTACTGTCATAACTACATTGATAAATGTTAATGATATGTCCATCATGATCCGTGATATCTCTGGTCTCATTCTCTATTTTTCCCCTCTTTGATGATATTCTATAAAGGGTCCTCTTTAGGATTTTCCCCCCACATCCAAAAGCTAGCATATCATTGTAATCACCATTCACTACTGTCCTGATAGACGGTAGTAATATGTGCATCAGATTCATGATATGTTAGGTGTCACCCTCTCATTCATCCCTATACGATATTCTACAGAGGGATAGCATATATGTCTGTCGTTCCGTATCTTACTGAATTACTTGTTAACAGACACTAGGGCAACCCGGAATGGCTAAGGAATCATAGACTTCCTCAAGGATTACTATAACAGCAGCAAATGTTGGCCTCCGAGAGTCCTCTTCTTTCATGCAATCTTTTACCAGCCTGTACCATTGATAAAATGTTAGACTACAATGAGAAAAAGTATCACTATGACAAGTTAAGAAAAATCTGTATAAATCTGTGATATATGAATTCATTTAAAATGATTATCCAATCAGCATGAAACTATGGAGTCTACAAAAATTAGTGAGATTCTACTGAATTTGCTAGAATGGAAAAGTTGAGAAGAGTGGTATTGCCATCAAGAGGAGAATGGCATATTAGTATTTAGATGCTATAAACATATTGTAAACCGGCATATGCAGGTATCTATAAATAACTGCGGTTGCGAATTTGCTAGAATGGTGAAGTACAGAAGAGTGGTAATGCCATTGAGGGGAGAATGGCAAATTAAAATTTAGGATGCTATAAGTATATCATAGATTGGAATATGCACACACCTAACAAATAACTGCACTTAATAGTTTAATGGAATGCAGAAAAAATAATTATAAATAGTAGGAAATGCTTTGGAAAAAAAAGCAAAAATAGGGCTGTTTTCTTCATAATGTACTCTAGGGCGTAAGACAGATAAATTAATCACCTGTAAGGGTATAACTTTCAAAGGAAATCTAAGTAACATTTGATAGTTTCACTCCAAGACTACGAATAAATCTGTATTACTCGTACAAAGATGAACAGAATATAACCAATAATTAAGATTCAGAGAAAAGTAAATCTAAGCACAATGTGGAAATACAATGCACCATAAAGTAGTTGCAAAAACAAAAGAAACGAAGGATAAATCAAGTTGCTTGTGATGCGTAAATGACTGTGGCAGGAGAGCATTCATGCTCATTACCTCAACAAAAAGAACAATCAATGCTGGCACTACGGTTGAGCAGGTTGAGCGTGTCAAGTAAACTTCTGACACTATGATCACATGAGTGGTTTTCATCTTTATTTACTTGGTAAATATTTGGGATATTTTTTATATCAAGTGCAAAATTGGACAGGCAAAAGATGGTCCCTATACAGTGTAAGCAATTGTGCACAAATCCAAAAACATGACTAAAGAGTAATTATACATTTCAGCATCACCTATAAGCATATATTATATTACTATTTTCTAGGAGAAACCAAGGAAAGTAAATCAGTTGGAACTCACTGTTGGATCCTTATGGGGCATCGACTTAGCCTAAACTTTGGTTCAAACGATCCAGACTCTGCAGAGTTCAATTTTGTGCAATCCAAGTTCACATTAGGAAATAATGCACGCCCTTCCAGCATCTGTAACAAACAAGTGCTACTGTTATTTTCTGAGCAAGATGTATGCTATAATAACTCATCTTTAATCTGTAATTTTCGAGGATATCAAACTATAAAAAGAAAGAAAATGCATATGATCAGGACAAGGAAAGAAATAAATATTGGAGGCTATTGGCTCTCATCAATGGAAACATCCAGCATAGTATAAAATATAAAGGTGATGTGTTTTAATGAGGGCACATATTTTGTAATACCGCACTAGGGAGTTTACACATTGGTAAATAACATTATAAACTTTTGGATAAAGACTACAGTAATGAAGCAAATGTTCTGCTAAAAGTTTCTAACAAAATTATTCTAAGGATATTCAAAATGCTACTATAGAGGATAGTTGAATGAAAGTCCACTTGACATTTTTTAGTACAACTCAATGACAGGTGTAAGTTTGAGAGAACTCAATAAATGAGATAGTTTGAATACTTAACTGATTTTTTTATAAAAGAGATAGATATTGACGAAATAAACCTCGGAGAAGGGTGATTTCCTGCTCAATCAAAAATATTGAAACTTCTTGTAAACTTCTTGCATTAATCTTTCCTATTTTTCTGTGTCTAATGTCATATAGAATGGAGGGAGAAATCTCACTTCTCTTAGTTTTGGTCGAAGCATGCAGATATACATGCATGTTTTTTTGTTATATTAGAGAAGATCAAAGCAGAGAAAATGGGGGAATCATCTTATTCTTAAAGAAACAAGTGATTTCTATAATTCAGTGCAGTGACTTGCATCCACTAGCTGTAATAAAAAGATGGATGAGTAGATTCTAGAACTGACTGCTCTCGAGCCCTAATCAAGAATCTTGAAGAGTATGTTATTGACAACTCGATAGTCCTGAGGCTTTATGGACAGAACACGTTACAAAATGTTCTGAAATACCAATGATTCAGTAATCAAGAATCTGGCCATGGCCAATGGATGGGAGATTCTGCTTGTGCAATATGAATATGTGAAATGTGTACATAGGGTGGTTCCTTCAATAAGATACGCGAATAGTTTATATAAGTACATGGTGGGCAATCTGTTGGATGATCTGTACAATTCAGTCTGATATTCGTATTCAAGCAGTTACATTTTTCCTATTGTTGATGAATGCTCCATTGTTCATTTAGAATTACTCGACTCAGCGGAAAATATCCTTAAACTATGTTATTTCTTCATTACATGTTTGAAACATAGTCATTATAGATAGTGTAGGTTATCATGTGACATTCCACCATGTGATTCAGATGGGCTTGTTAAGAACACCCTAAGAACACTTCTGCAATGGACGCACATATAAGTAGTGTGCCTAATAAAGACATAACTTATAAACAAATTTTAACTGAAATTTCTCGTACAACTAAGTATGAAGGATTTCCTTTACCTCATACAATATATTTGCAAATGAAAATAAATCTCTCTTAGTATCAGTAGAAGGCTTGACCATGCTAGTTGAAATATCAGTCCCCTTACCTGTTGAATGAAAGAATATAAAATACTATAGGATTTGATTATTTACATCAGTCACTCCCAATCAAAGAAGTGTTTTGACGTACAGTTCTCTTGATAAGGATACATCTTTTCGTACATCAGCTGAACCCAATATTCGCCAATTTTTAAGTGTCCTCCTTCATCTTGCAACAAGTTTCTACACAAGCAAAGAAAACAATCGTTGGCGATGAAATATTTAACAGGTTAGCTTGTCTTATACATCATAAAAGAAAGATCTAGATTTTTGTTGAGATCTTTTATAAACTTACAAAACTTAATCTTAATCACCATGAGATCTACTCCTTAATAGGAAAAAATTTGAATCATACTAAAATAAAACTTTCATGATAATTGAACTATTAAAAAATCTCAAATATATTAAAATCCTAAATGAACCAAAATCCTGCTTAATATCTTTTCTTTTATAGACAACCACAGAAAAATTTTAAACATCAATATTCACTAAAACATGACTCATTATCTTTTTCTCTTTTCCTTAATCGGGTGGTGCATGCCTGAGGTGTATTTCTAAGAAGCTAGCAGCATATCATATATGTATTACAGATAAGGTGAGAGTTAACCGAGAGGTCTTATTGTAAATGTTTGCAACATGCATATGTAAATATTTTTTTGGGGGGGTTGGAGGGGTAGGGGTGGGGGTGGGGTGGGGTGTGTGGTGTTGCAAATAGGTTCCCTAGGGAGTTTGGAGCTCTGGCTCTTAATCTGGGTGATACGTATTTATCAAAATAGGGGTAAGTGGGCACGCGCCGGTGGGTCTGTGTGCATATGAGCGTGTATGCACATGCATGGGTGGGGATATGGAGTAAGTGTGTGGATCTATGCATGCGTGTGCATGCACGTGTTTTTGTGTATGGTATATGTGGGTGTGTTGATGTACGCATAACTGTATGGGTATGTGGCCATGATTGTGCGTGTGGTATGTGGGTGTATGTTCGTGTGTGTGGGTGTGTGCGCACATGCGTGTGTGGATGTGGGTGTCTGGGCGCATATGTTTATGCACCCGGGTGAGGCGTGAGGGTTGATGGGTATAAAGATTGTACATGTGCATGTGTACAAAGTGAATAAAAAAGATGTAAAATATTAAGAATTACAGCTCGTCTAGGGCACAAATAATTGTGAACAGTATGACGAGGCTTTAACCACAACGTATTTTCTTCTGTAAATAATTGCAACATGCAGCAACCGTGTTTATCAAAAAGAAGGGAAAGGTGAGAAGCAGTACCCTTTTATATTTGCTTTCAAAATTGTGCATCAGTGTGTGCAGAGAGTGAATAAAGTAGATTCAAAATTTCTAAGATTTACAGCTCACCTAGGGCACAAATAATTATGAACAATATGGTGAGGCTTGTGTTGATGAAGATAGTTCATCCCCCTGCAAAACAAGAAACATAAAACATAAGTTACATGATAGCTAATTATCATCTTCATGACGAGTGAAATTTGTTTAAATGAAATCTGTCTTATATATAAACCTAAATATTACTGTAAGTACAAAAAGAATATGATTGCAATCACCAATTAAAAGCTAAAAAGGAGGAAATTTTAGAGAATAGATTATTTCAGGGTTAATTGCATAGCAGATAGATCCCATGTAGTTCTATTTAGGGTTAATTGCATATAGACCCTATCGTCCAATTGCATATAGATCCCATGTAGTTCTATTGGTGCATATAGAACCCCTATACTTTTTGCCTAAGAGCTGACAGAGCCCCTGAGTGATTTTTCTTTCATGACCTTTAAAAGAGTCAAAAAAAAGTTCACTCAGGGGTCTATCTGCACCAATAAAACTACAGCAGGTCTATCCACAATTGGGCAATAGAACAGGGGATCCATCCGCAATTAACCTTTTTTATGATGTATACGAAGCAGAAGTTAATTATCCTACGACTTTATGAGATATTTGTAAACTACTTTCATGATTTTTGGTCAAAAATATTCTACCACGCTTATTTGATATACCTAATCACAGCCACTCTGAAATATCAGAGAATGTATACATTCCGTAAATAAAGGTAAGTGAGAAAAAAGGAAAAGAAAAAAAGTTCATCACTATATAGCAGGAACCCATTATAATTATTTTCATCAATCACCGAAAGTACCTCTAAATAAACTCAACTAACATTTTAAAGAAAGAAGCAAACCTAGCAATGTCGAGTGCATATCGGAGGGATGTGAATATGTCAAGCACTTTGCCATTCAATATTTGAGACAATTTCCCCTAGGGAGCCATATGGCAACAAAATTAAAAATGGAAGTAATTAGGATAAGCTAAAAATAAACATGCAGTAATAACTATAGTTAAACGTGTGCAGTTCTCTATAATCCATTAGGTATATTATTTCCTGTTTTGAATTTAAAGCACCCTAAGCCCAGGTAGAACTGTAACGAACACCTGAATCAACCTAAATAACAGAATAAAAGTAGAAATATGCTCTCTTTAAAGAATTTGAAGCTAGGAGCAAGGGCTCTGGTTTGAAGAATAGAAGTATTGCACAATGCTTCTACCTAGATTTTATTTATTTATTTATTTTTTGGACACACCAAGCCAACAAGTTTGACGAAAAAAATAGGCTAAATTGATGAAACATCAAAAATTTATATCAATCAAAAGTTTTACATTCAGATTTGATTTTACAGAGCAATAATAACTATACCCAAATCAATTTAATTTGATGTGACGGTAATAATCACTTCAAAAAGAAAACATATGCAAAATAGTAATCATCAATTTTTTTGCATTGGGGAAGAAGTTAGAATTACAGGAGTTTCCAAGCAATGCTCACTAATCAAGAGACGAAAACGATGCAGTTCAATAACCTTGAACTATAAAAGCATTAATATAATAAACACATACCTTAGGTAAATGCTCGGTAATAAGGACAATTTCATCCTCATGGACGATTGCACCAAGAAACTGCAAAATATTTGGGTGTCGTAGCTCTCTGAGACGAGAGATTTCTTTTGCAAACCATTTTCTGCAATGTGAGCAAAGCACACAAATTACCTCTCAATAATATTGAAGGAATTACGTTATAAAAACAAAAACCAATTTCAAAAGATAACCATGGGCAAAGAAAAGGTACTTTGTTTCCAGAAAAGATTTTTGTGTTTTAATTATGGTTTTAACAACCCACGTTCCGCGCCACTTAACCTTCTTAGATTCACCAAAAATGCCCTGAAAATATAAGCCAGAAAAAAAGGAAGCAGTTAGTAGCAGTATTCAAACTCGAGATGAAACCATAATTTAAACCAAGGCATTTCATGTTATTCACTTAAGACAATGAAATTAATGTGAATACAAAAAGGTCCACACTAAACATCTAAGGAATCTCTTAAGTGCAGAAAAGTAAACAAATGCTCAGACCAAGAGTTGGGTTGATAATCACTCTAAATTTTGCAGGATTAACACACACACATACACACACAAAAGGAAAGACCTGTAAGTTTCAAAACTGACCCTTAAACCCCATCCCACCTCTCATTACAATTTCTACAAAATTGACATGGTTGAAAATTTTGTAGTGATATATGACAATTATCTATATTCCCATGTTAACACATATATGGTTTTTATCTTTAAAACTGATTATTACAAAGAAAAAGTTGATGATTATTTGACTAGAAATTTAAAATAAGGGAAAACTATCACTTTTAGAACCTTAGAAGGATTTTGCGATGTTCCTGCAAATCATACGCTATACTCTTTAGAACTACAAAAATAACCATTAATTAAGAACATGAATAGGATTAATGAAAAACAACAAAGAAACTAATACTTACTACCAACACAGTAGAAAACTTTTTGGGCAATTAATATCAAGTATATCACAATATTTGCTTCTTTACCTGCTCAACTACAGAAGTATGCTCCAAACTTAGCTCTGAGGGATCAATATTCACTTCATTCAGACCATGTTCGTGACGAATAGTCTGAGAAAAGCAATAAGGGATAGAATATAATAGCACACTAAATGAAAGAAAATTTTCTCACTTTTCGTAAATGAATTTGAACATTAAGCATTTGAAGCATCAATTACTTTAGCAGTAGGGATAAACAATAAGAACTAAAGCCTAATATGCTTTAAAAAAATTTATTAGTTCCAGGCCATGATATCATCAAATGGAGAACTTGAGATGAACTATCATGGTGTAACAATTAATTTGGGTATGGTACAGATTAAGACATGAGCAAAGGCTAACCATACAAGAAATTAAGAAAAAAACAAGTTGGAAACTGTAGGCTGTCTAAAAATCACAATAGATAGCTTATTCAAATAAGCTCCAACAATGGAGGTCATAATCAGACGACTTCCCAATCTCTGCATCCGCAACCCCACAATCGCCACAAACACGACCTCACTTCTGAGATGATTGATCTTGATGGCTGTGACAACAGCATGGCTAATATTATACTAGCAACTATTAGAGATGCTGATGAGCAGTGGGATGATTTCAGAAATAAAAGGTTGGACTCAGTTGGTGAGTTGCTTGGTAGAGAGCTGTGGGCAAATATTCATCTTTAAGACACTATGGATATTGATTCCCGTCTAGCTCCTACAACGAAAGCTACAATCAAATAGTTTTCGAGTCGGTGAACGAAAGTTGTGAATGGAGGGCTTTTCACATAGGTCGAGAAGAGTTACAATTCAACGACACTTTCAACGACGGATGAAAACTCTATTCAGCAGTCTTCACAATCTACAGTGAAAGTTACAATCTGACGACTTTCACACTCTACAACAGCTAAAAGCCAGGATTACTGAACAACGGTCCTTGCAATGCACCACAGAAGAAGCTACAAGTCAAATAGCTCATTCTGAAACGCGGATGTCATCCTCGCGTCACCACTTTAGAAATGAAGGCGACCCCCACGTCTCCAAGGCACAATCCAAACGCGGGCGACCCTCGCGTTCATAGGGGTTCAATCAACGTTGACCCCCGCGTTTCTAAGCAGGCAACAAGCCAAAACGCGAGCGACCCTCGCGTTCAATAGGTGTTCAGCTAACACCCAACCTCGCGTCTCAATCCTAAGAAGCGAAGTTGGGTTCTGAACGCCAGATTGGGCGTTTGACTCACTCAAACATGAGTCGAACGGTTCCAAAACCGTTTATCCCACGTCCTGAGGGATTTTCACCCACGTAGGAGCGGATATAGGGGTCAGTTACAACCCCTTATCCCCCTATAAAAACTCAACGAACTCAACTGAGTTGGGGGTTGGATTTTTGGCATCTGAACCACAGGGGTTGATTGGATTTTCTCTGGGCTCAGATCAGAGGCTATTGGCTGGCTCGTTGAAAACCACTCTGGCTTGGAGATTCAGCAGCAACGAAATCCTTGGAGATAGGATTTTTGAATTAAACTCAGAAGATCAAATCTGAGAGGATTCTTCGACAACAGAAAAACAGCTTGATCACTAACCGAATTTTCGGTTCCAACAACTCTATTCACAGAGTTCAAACTCGTTCAGAGTTCTTAAACTCATTCAGAGTTATTTATAAAACTTTCCACGAAAGTTTTACATGGGATGCAATAAAATAAATGATGTTAAATTAGTTAATTAAGTAGTGGGCTATTGGGTGTGGGTCCATTATCCATATCCGTATTGTAACCCCATAATTGAATTGGTTCTCTACTTAATAATACTTACTGGGTATTTTTCTTTGACACGGTATCAGAGCTATGTTTTTGTAATTAAAATAAATCCTAACCCTAATCTCATAAATAAAATGGCACTGTTCAGTGACGAAAAGTAAGCCATGCTTTTTGTTCGTTGTGAACAGTATCTCTCCGTCATCATCTTCTCCGGTCGGTATCTCCGTTCCTCTTCCTCATCGTCTTCAACTTCCTCATATTTCCTCTATCACCGCTGCTACTACCTTGATCTACCGTCACTGTTGCTCTATATTGTTGTTGCTGCTATTGTTGCCTATTGTCCCTATCGCTAGCTTAATCTGATCTGATCTGACTTCTTGATATGGCTGAAAAAGTTTAGATCTGATCTGACTTGATAATAATAGTGGTTGTTGTTTTCTAATATTTGGCTAATTTAATGCTTTTTCTGGCTAATTTCTGGTATTTTGGCTTATTTCTAGCTGACTTTTGTGGTTGATTTCATAGATCTAAGTTGTCATTGTTGATTTCTTAATATTTGACTGACTGAGATGTCGAAAATCACGAGCTCTTCAACCTCTTCTATTCCTCTTACTATTATGAAGACATCTATTCCCATAACTATTTTAGGAACTATTATGAAACTAAATGGATGTCATTATTTGTTGTGGGCACAAGCGTTCAAAATTTTTATTAGTGCTCAGAATAAATTGGACCATCTTCTGAAAAATTCACCCATTTCTGTAGACTCTAAGTACAAGACCTAGCTTTATGGAGATTATTGTGTCATGACTTGACTCCTCAACAGTATGAAAGAAAGGGTCAGTAGTAGTTTCATGTTCTTATCTACTGTCAGGGAAATGTAGGACTCTCTAGAGGTCATGTATGGGAATGAGAAGAATGTGTCTAGAGTTATATGAGATATATGAGCGGTTGTTTTCTCTGTAACAAGGGGATAGATCTGTACCAAAGTTTTATGAAGATTTGAAGGGGTTAATGTATGAGTTGGAGATGCATCAGCATGTTCTTACTAATCTAGCAACATCGAGGGGATATAATCAAGATCTGGCGATGTTAAGGTTTCTATATGGCATAATTGGCATCTCATATGAAAGGACAGATTGGATCTAGCAGTGTTAAAATTTCTGTCTGGTTTGGATCCGTCAATGATATCTCAGGTGCGAGGATAGATTTTAGGAGAAAATAACATTCCCTCATTGACATCTATCTTCTCCAGGGTCATGTGTGCACCATTTGTTGAGCATTCTGTCATGATTACTGGACGTGCCAGAGGATGTATCATGGTTATGGCCGTGATTCAGGAGCTGGTCGCAGTTGTTTTGGTAGTAGCAAGGTGGATTTGATAAAGGACCACATAGATATACTCATTGTGGGAGAAATAATCACAGCGGAGAATTGCTAGCAGAAGTTCGGCAAGCCTAAGTGGGCACAATTAACTACTAGTGATTCTATCCCTCCTGATGGTATGGCTTCTCCTTCCTCATCAGCCTCTTCAGAAATCCCTATTGTTCAGATATAACATGCAGACTATGAGCGATTCATACAGCTCCAGTCCCAGTCTACTCAGAGTAATCATTAAGCAACTCATGTATCCTCTTTAGGTATAAAAGTTTATATTGCCTCTTCAGACAGACCTTTGATATTAGATTCAAGAGCTTTATCCTACGATGAAAAGTATAAAACAAAATTTTCATTCCATATATTCTTCGAACAAATTTTATTCTGTTCATATTGTTGATGGTTCTTTTACGCATGTACTTGGTAATACAGTGGTTCAGGCTACTTCATCATTGACTCTGACTAATATGTTATATGTTCTCCAATATTTTGTTAGTCTCGTCTATTAGCCAATTCATAAACAATAATAACTGTAAAATAACTTTTTCCCTTCACATTATGTCTCTTAGGACCTACGGACTAGGTTGAAAATTGATTCGGATCGTGAGAGAGGAGACATTTATTATCTGGATGAGAGTGTGCCCCCTTCGGTCTTTTTGCTGGTGTATCTAATGCCCCTCTATAGTGGCACCTGCGTTTGGAACATCCCTCTCTTCAGAAACTTTGGATAGTAGTTTCTGTTGAGTCCTCTTTTTCTTCTTTAGGATGTGAGTCATGCAAGTTAGAAATGCATCATCGTACTTCTTATCACAGTCGAGTCAATAAATGTAGTAATATTCCTTTTGAGTCAGTCCACTCTGATGGCTGAGGTTTGTGTCGTGTTCCTTAGTGAAAGGATTTATGTATGTTATTATCTTTGTGGATGACTTCTCTCATATGACATGTTTGTACTTGATGAAAAGATGTCAGAACTTGCTAATATAATTTAACTTTTTTTAATGAAATAAAAAATTAATTTCGACTACTAATTGTGTGCTTCATACTGATGATACATTAGAGTATATGAAAACTGGTGTGTCTAGATTTTGTGCCACTATTGGCATCCTTCACCAGACCTCATGTTCTCATACTTCTCAACAAAATGGTGTTGTTGAATTAAAGCACAAACACATATTAGATGTTGCTAAATCACTAATTATTTATATGCATGTTCCAAAATATTTATGATCTGATGCTATTTTGTATGCATATTATTTGATTAACAAGATGCCCTCGTCTATCCTTGATGGGGAAAAAATCCCTTTCTCCTGTCTTTATTCTAATAAGAATCGGTTTTTAATTGTCCCTAGAGTGTTTGGTTGCACTTGCTTTGTACAAAGTTTGAGTCTAGGTCTCGATAAGCTATCTCTTAGATCCATTAAGTATGCTTTGTGAGTATTTCATAACTCAAAAGGGATATAGGTTTTACAATCCAATGTCAAGGAAGTATGTTACATCAGCGAATGTTACTTTCTTTTCTGTACCATTTTTCTCATAATCCAGTACAGGACCCCCATCAGCTTCTGTTCCTCTGCCTCAACTAGTGTCGAGTTCTGAGTAGAAGATACACTTGCATCAAAACCATTGCAGGTGTATACTCGAAGATAGAAAGCACATGCTCCTCCCTCATGCTCAACTAAACTAAAGTCTACAGATGTAGGTCCCACCCATCAACAATCTTCTACTCTCTCTGATCATAATCTTCGTATTACTCTTAGAAAAGGTAAACGATCTATCACAGTGTAGGCTGTCTAAAAATAATAAAAGATAGCTGATTCCCCATCAAACACCGATGATGGAAGTTACAATCTGACGACTTCCAGAAGGCTATCTTTAGCAACACTCTGACAGAAAAAGATTACAAATCGACGATCTCTTCAAACCAAGACGTGAAAGTCCTCCCTACGTACCATCTTCAAGACACAACACCAATTTGATTACCTACGCAGCTTCAACCGCTGCAAACAAAAATACAGCTGCTTATGTGAGATGATTGATCTCGATGGCTGCGACAACAACATGACTAATATTATATTAGCAACTATTAGAGATACTGATGAGCAGTGTAATGATATTCGACACACTGAGGAGCATATGGTTAAACCATGCAAAGAAATCTTAGTAGAGATCGTGACCTGCAGTTGATAGAGCGTTATTGAGATGCCTCAATTATTACAAATGGCCTGAATAAGACATTCTTTACTGGTCATTGGTGTCATCCATATATAAAGACAGAGAAGCTCGAACGCAGCTCTAACCGCCACCGAACGCAGCTCCATCGCTGTCAACGCAGCTCATCAACCGCTGCCAAACGCAGCTCCCTCGCTGCCCAACGCAGCTTATCAACCGCTGCCAAACGTAGCTCCATCGCTGCCCAACGCAGCTTACCAACCGTTTCCAAACGCAGCTCATCAATCGCTGCCAACGCAGCTCATCAATCGTTGCCAAACGCAGCTTATCAACCGCTGCCAAACGCAGCTCCATCGCTGCCAACGCAGCTCATCAATCGCTGCCAACGCAGCTCTATCGCTGCACGACGCAGCTCGTCACAGCAGCTCTTCCCAATCACCGCCAGAACGCAAGTCAAGGTTCTGACTCATTCAAACGTGATCGTAACAACTTCGAAGCTGTTCTCTACCCACGATATAGGGAGTGGTTTACGTGGGTTGTTACACCCGATTAATGGGGTAACTAAACCCCCGTTTAGGCGCGGATTATGGGGGCAGTTACACCCCTAATCCCCCTATAAATATCAACAAACTCAACAGAGTTAGGGATCGGATTTTTGATAATCAGATCGGGGGACGAGATATCATTGGATTTTCTAGAGAGGATCTTAGAGAGAGAGTTGGAGAATTAACTCTTTATACAGTCTGGGGAATCAACATCCATTGAGGAATCCAGACGTTAGATACTTGGTTTATTAACCGAATCATTTTCGGTTCAAACAACTCTTTTTATCAGAGTTTGTTACTCGTTCCGAATCACGAAACTCGTCAAGAGTTATCAACCAGACAAGATCGTTGTTCCAGTGAGTATAGACAGTCGGATCGTCAACGAGAAGCAAACTCGACGCGAGCACTCGAGGGAGGCATCTCATCGCTACCAAGAAGAACCCAGAATTAAACAAAGGAGAGAATCCAGATCATTCTCTTCTCTTTTGTAATCAGGAATTCAAATTGTAATTGAGAGCAGAGAGAGTTGTAATCATTCTTTTTCTAAGCAGTTAGAGAGAATAAAGTCAAACGCAATTCTTTCATTCATTTTCTTATTGCAAAATTTCCGACAAACACACAGCTCATCCCAATCTCTAATTTCTTCTCTTATGATAGTCTCACCCCCATCCTTTAGCCAGTTTGCCTTGTATTTGTCTACTGAATCTATACTCTGGTCTTATAAAGAGGCAATGTTAGTTCCCACCCGAAAGTAGGCTATGAATGAGGAGATGGATGCACTTGTCTTGAGGAAAACTTGGGATTTGGTCCCCACTCGGACCGAGGCAGATGTTGTTGGTTGTCGATGGGTATATATTTTAAAGTATCGGCTAGATGTCTCTGTGGATGGACATAAAGCCTCATTGGTTGCTAAAGGCTATACTCAGATGTATGGAGTTGACTACTAAAGACCTTCTCCCTAGTTGCTCGTCTGAATTCCATCAGGATATTATTCTCAATTGTTGTTAATCTTGAGTGATCCATGTTCTAACTTGATGTGAAGAATGCCTTTTTATACGATGATATGTAGGAGGAGGTTTATGTGGATCAGCATCCAGGGTATGTCGGCCAGGGGAAGAATATTGTATGCAGACTTAAGAAGGCAATTTATAGCCTCAAATAGAGTCCGAGGGGAGGGCATGGTTTGACAAGTTCAGCAAAGTGGTTTCTGGTATTGGATTTCAGAGATGTCACTTAGATCATTCTATATTTATTCACCACACTACATCTGGATTAGTTAGTTTGGCTATATATGTTGATGACATATTGCTAACTGAGAATGATATAGTTGGTTTGACAGAGACAAGGAGTATGTGAGAAAACATTTTGTGACAAGGATATGGTTAGGTCGAGATACTTCCTAGGGATTGAAGTAGGTTACCAAAAACATGGTTTGTTTTTTTCCTAAAGAAAGTATGTGTTGGAACTTCTGGAGGAGACTTAGTCTTTTGGGGTGCAAGCCTGCAAGTATCTCGGTGGAAGCAAATGAGGATTTCTGATCTGACGATAGCAAACTTTTTATAACACTAAACAGTATATGCGGCTGATTGGAAAGCTAATATACCTTATAGTTACTAGACCCAACCTATTATATGTTGTTAGGATTATTAGTCGATTCATGCACAAACCTAAAGAGGTTCCCTAGAAAGCTGCTTTGAGGGTTCTTGCCTCTGTGAAAAGTTATCCTGATAAAGGCTTATTGTACGAGATGTGTGGAAAATGTATATATCTCCGCCTATTCTAACTTGTGTTATGCAGGAGATAAGGGAGACAAGAAGTCTATTACTGGGTACTGCACATTTAAAGGCAATCTAGTGACTTGAAGAATCAAGAAACATGATGTGGTTCTCGATCTAGTGCAGAGACTAAGTATAGGGCGATGGTGCATGCATCTTGTGAGATGATGTGGCTAAGGAATATAATGTTAGCACTTGGTTTTGTCCATGGACTCATGCCTATGGACTGTGATAATCAGTCTGCTATTTACATTGCCAAGAATCCTACTTTTCATGAAAGGACAAAGCATATTCAGGTTGATTGGCATTTTGTTAAGGATGTAATGATGAAAGACTTAATTCACACTCCATCCACTGCTTCGGAATAGTTGGCAGATATTCACACAAATGTAGCTTCACCTAAAGTGTTTTCTACTTTCTGGAAGAAGATGGGCATGATTAATATCTATGCCCCAGCTTAAGGGAGAGTGTTAAATTAGTTAATTAAGTATTGGGTTATTGGGTGTCAGTCCATTATCTTTATCCGTATTGTAACCCTATAATTGTATTGGTTCTCTAATCAATAGTACTTACTGGGTATTTTTCTTTGACAAATGAGTCACATGCCTTTTAAAATAAAAGTTTAATGGACACAAAAAGTTTTAAGAGTGTTATAAGGAATAAGGTAAAGTGAGCATAAAAGAATTAGAAATAACAGATAAGGCTTGGCGCTTCGTATACGTTGCTCAATTGTTGAAGTTGGTTGGATCCATGTTACTAGATTATTGCCTTGTGACATAGAATAAAAGTTGCAACAAAAGGTCTAAATGTTGAGGGTTGTGGAGATGAACAAGCGAGACTTAGATGTATCTGATGAAACTTTAAAGGAACGAAGTGTAAGCCAAAATCTGAAGGCTTTGCTTAATATTTGATGCCGCTCTCAAATATTGGATGGCTGCTAGTTATGGTGAAAGAGAAAATCTAAAACCCATCCGAACTATATGTTAAAAAGATGGTTCTTCTCACAATAAAGATGCAGAGTTTAGTACCATCACGAGTAAAAGAAAAGTTGATAAGGCATTTCCACAATTTATTAAAAAAAAATTGATGATGGTTAACAGACAACTAGCCAATTGTTTGTGAAATGTGGCAATTAACAGAATCAGAAAACATTTCCCCCTAATATACAGAAGTTAAAACAGATCTTCAGTCTCTTATAAGAACATATCCCCTTCGCAGTCACAATATTCACCACTAAACTATATATAAAGAAGGGAACCCAGTTACCATAGGACGTTCGTCAAAGGAATCTCTGCCTCCATTTACTTCCAAGATCCTGATAATATCTCTATGTCCGTAGAGTCTTGCGTCCATCAATGGCTTCACAAATCAATAATTGAAAGTAATTATTGCGGAATAAGAATATCAGTCAATATCAGTCATATTCCTTTGATTCTAGGATAAGTGGAACATAGTACTGCAGGATATAAAATAGTCGAGTAACATACGGTTCTCTGCCAACGGTCTTCAAGATTAACATTGGCATTATACTGTATCAGAAGTTCTACAATCGATGCATGCCCCTCACTAGCTGCAAGATGCAAAGCAGTTCTCCTATCGTAGTCTTGAACATCTGGAGAAGTTCCACCCAGTAGCATTTGATTTAACCCTACTTTATCACCTCTTGATGCGCAATGGAGAAAGCTTCCTATTACTTGCATGTCATAGTCTTTTATGGCCACCATATCCATTTCAGGCATCACTCAACAGGCCTTTAGGGGAAACTGAGAATTAATACATTGTTCTTAGAAATCATACAGGTAATTGGTAAACCATTTTCCCATATAAGTTGTACTCGTACTTCAACTTCATTATAACTCAAACCAAAGAGCGAAAGAAGAATTCCACTAAAAGATGGCTAAATCTCTTGAGAAGGTATAAAGAAAGCGCATAAATTTCAAATTGTTTTTAAAGAAATTTGTTTTTCATTATTTCAATCGTTATCCACTAGGAAATAAAAGATGGTATAGAGGAAGTATCAATCGCGTTAAAAAAAGACATAGTAATGTAGAGACATCAGATAATATCCTACCTATGTTATCTCATTGTTAGTTCAAGCTTTCATTATGTAGTGGAGAGACCACTTCTTTTATCATAGTCATTGATTTATTTAGTGGCCAATTGTGATTTGTCTTTGAGTGTAAATTAGGAATAAGTGGCATTCATGGACACTATGGTGAGTGCTAGTTTGGGTTGTATAACAATTGTCCATTAGACACCCATTAGACAGATCAACGGTTATTATAGAAATAGGTCTCTCTACTATTTCTTTTGGTAGTGGAGAGGATTTGAATCCCTTTTAACCCATCTAAAATGGTTATCCTAACATTTTTATAAGTTCTTTATTTGGTAAATTAAAACGAGTTAACTCACTTAATTTCATGTGTAAATTTTTTGTGATTGATACATTAATTAGTTGTTAACTCTCCTCAACCCGTTGCCAAAAAACACATTTAAGTACCTACTCAAATTTTACCTGCAGACATATCCAAGAGACATCATTTCACCCTAAGAAACGAAAGGGCGTCCGTACGTACTTGCTCAAGCCTTTACCCATTGGCATATCCAAGAGATTGACGGCGGCCCTATGCATATTGCTAATATTGAGGCACATAAAAACTTAATCCTTGACAAAGCTAACTTAAAGGAGTGGACGATGCCCGGTTAGTTAGAAACAAGTAAGGACATGATAATAGTTCACTTAAAGGAGGAGATGACGTATAATGGAAATGAATGAAAAATTAGGATTCATGCAGCTGAACCCAAAAATTTGGTATAAAGGCTTTTTGGTTGCTGCTGCTGCTGCTGTAGAACACAAACTATAACTAGCTATATTTCAACAAAAACACTGCAAGGTATCATAAAATTCTCAAAGTTGATGTTAACTTTCTGGGTCTCGCCAACTTAACTTAAACCCGGTAATTTACTAATTTCGCTTCCCAAGTTCTCATAGATGACCGTCTCAACACCTACAAACTAACAAATACCAACAATACAGTTTAACAAGCATCAAGAAACCCAACAAAAATGTAAACAAAGCAACAATAAAGGAAGAGAAATTTGCGATTTTTACCAAATATTGCTGCTCTGTTTCTCGGTGGGGAATTTTCTCAAACACCTTGCAGGCGTGCCAAAAGGATTAATAGTAGTCTCCGTTCCTTGGTGTTTTCTATGTTTCATTTTTGTTTTCGTGTTGAAGGTTGGCGATTGTAGCTAAAAAGGGCTCGGTTTGTCCTCGGGTTTTGCTTTGGCTGTGAACGGGCGATGCGCGCTATGATTCTATTGAGAGTGAAACATGAAGTGTAATATTTATTTCTAAGTATAGGGTCTGATTTTCTCGAGGACCCTGCATAAGAAGTTGCTTTGGTAAGCCCCTAATTTTTTTACCCTTTTTGTGGTTTCTTAGGGGGGTTATTGGTTGGGACAAATTGGGGCCAAGTGAGAAAATTATTCCAATAGAACAATTTTACCGTATATTTTGAGTGGGGTAAAGTGGGATAAAGTGGGATAATGAGATAATTTGAGCCTTTGATTTGACAATTCATGTGGGATAATTGATGATGTGACACCTTATTAAAATATAATTTTATCTATTAATTACTTCTAAATTAACTTATCCAATTGGTTTAGTATATTATTTAGTATATTATTATAATATAAATATTATTTTACTTTATATTAAAATATAATATATTGTACTATACTTACAAATTACTATTATTAATTATTATATTGCTTTATATTATATTATATTAGCATGATATACTATATATAATAATTAATAATATATGATCAATATATTTAATATAATATTTTAAAAATATAATATATAATATAATACATTATTTTATTTATACAAAAATATAATATGTTATACAATAATTACTAATTAACATTATATTAGTATGCTACATTATATAATAATTGATATAATATATAAATAATATATATAATATAATATTTTAATAATATATTATTTAATTTAATATATTATAATATAGTATCATAGGATATAATGTACTTTATAAAATATTATAATATTTTACTTTATTCAATGTAATATTTTTTA